CTATTTTTGAGGTTATGAGCGCATAGTAAATCTCAATTTCAGTAGAGAAATACAAGGACATTTAGTGGGTATGAGGCTTTGATGCGGAATATGTCTAACGTACCAACAATCTAATTTGATGGTCGCAAATATAACACAAGTGACTCAAAAGAATCAAACTATATAGTGAGATGATATATTTTCGTTCTAAAGACACTTGGAAGTGTGTTCTATTAAAAAAATTGGCAAGTCAATCTCTTTTACATAATTTGGGGCACCGGAAGGGAAATCTCGAAGCTATTCATAACTATCCCTGACAGGTGCACTGAAATTCATGGATAATCTATTAATTTCCAAAATGTATGAATTGTTTATCTTCCTCTATGTTGATTTTCGTTAGGTGATGTGTTCAGATTTGGCCTTCTTTAGATTTGTGAAGAGTGGCGTTACATGTGCTTATAAACTATCATTGTCTAGCAAGGTTGTGTGGGGGACCGAATTGAATTTTATCAAGTAGTACAAGCAATTTTACATTAAAGATAAAGTTGAGTTCTGTTCATGCGATTGCATTGTGAAAGAAAAGGTGTGGAATGGATCAGAAAAAGTTGATCATGTAGCATGTAAGTATTGGTGTGTGCTGCAAGGTTCTGGAGTCATCAAAATCATAATAAATTTGACCCAGTCTTGGTAAAGCAACAAGCACTGTACACAGAAAGATGTATATGGGACTACACAAAATTTGGTGTCGGGGCTACTAACCTTTTTTTCCTTATCTTTCTATGCTCATTACTCGGCCAGTATACATTCTCTACCAAAATTGTTTGGCAAATGAAATTTATTTGTACTCTTGAACATTCAGTGTAACTTTCGTTTGATTCTGTGAGAGTTTATTTTCTTTCTTTTTACCAGAACTCAAATTTACCTTTAAGTACCTTGCACTAATATCATCATTGTTTTTCAGTTTGATATTTAGCGACAAGAGAGGTGGCAGCATATTGATAGAATGGCACCAATGTGTCCAGGAGTATCTAAGTTTATTCAAGAAATTAAAGTACAGTTTAGAGCCAATTTTTAAAAAACTTGGTTAGATGCCAATAAAAAGACAAATGACCGGTTGCAATCCACGTATCAATCAAGGGACAAAAGTAAACAGAGAAGAGAATACTTGGGTTATCATTAACTTCAAATAAATACCGTAATAATGATACTGATGGTCATATTTTATGACCTGATAGTTACCTTTGATATCTGATATATCCAAACACTTATGTGAAAACTGATAAAAAGACGCTCCCTAATCATTTGTAACCAATAATATGCCGTCGCAATTTGTTTACACGTTGAAAAGTGGGTATATACATTTTTATCATCCCCGTCCTCACGGCCATGACCCAGTGAACGTCAACATAATCCAGCTGCGCATGAATATGTCCCATTTTGTGCTTTCTGGTATGGATATGTTTAGCATACATGAAATGTTCTCCCTTTTCATGTGTAATGACTGTGCATGCTTAATGAAAAGCGGATTCGGGCAATATTGAAATTAAAAAAAATACAAAATCATTTAAAGCATTTTTCTGTAGTTATTAATCAATAAAAAATTTCAACAGAATAACTTTTTCTCATCAATATCTGAATCTTGGACAAGGCTCGTATAGTTTACTTTGCGAACACCTCTATTTGATTTGTATAAGTTAAGATACAGTTAGTTAATGATCATTAGATAACATTATACAAGAAACTTGATGCGATTGAGCCAGATTGATTATTTTGCACATAATAACCAAGATATACTATGATATTTAGCATTAATATGATGTTTTGGGATCATCAAACCCCAATTTGTTGCTAAAGTACACATGGACTGCACACAAAAATCAGTGTTCGGGATTACACATTTAGCAGGATAGTGAGGTTCATTCTATTAACTGTTTCTGGTCATATTTCGAATATGGGGGCATTACATTTTGTAGAGCAATGTGTAGGGGATATTTCTATTACGATATCTTGTTTTAAACTGACATACACAAAAATTAGACACCTCACAAACTATTTCTCATCTTTACCAGAACTCATTCTCCTCGTAAACATTCAAACTCTCACAAGGTATTAGATCCTTATTGCAAATATCTCCTCATTTAGTGAAGGTATTGAAATGGTAAAATACATGTAGAGAGAGAGAGAGGGAGAGAGAGCGAGAGCGACAGTGTAAGAACTGAAATGGATAAGAGGAAATAATATGCGGTGTAGCTATAATTTCAATTTGTTTTATTTCCTAAAAAGCATTGCCCGCTTGGTATTGGTGCCAAATGCCAATCAAGAGTGCATAGGAGTAGATCAGAAAGGTGATAGAAGGCCTACGATAAGAATAATAGATGGTGATTCGTTATCATGTGGTGTTTAGATGGAATATTTTATTTTTACACAACACTTCTTTGACAATAGAGTGAAAGGCCATTTTTCCATATTTGGTTTACGCAAGTCATAAAATGTTTCATACCATTTGTTATATGTTGGCAAAGTTATATAGCAAATAAAAGTAAACGTGATTTTGTTGCATGAAGGGATTTCTGCTTTCAATAAACGGGTGTTTGCAAATTTCTCGTATTTGTACATATTAACATAATTAAACAATCAATGTTACACACATACATACATAATTCCAGTATGAAATGTTACTTTGTTACCGTGATATGATATAAACATTCAACTAGTATTATTGAAACGTGACAGCTGTCGGAGTAGTCCAGAATCTGCCCGGTCCTTTCTAATTCCCTACGCACTTGATTCGATTCAAGCCGTCGAAGATGGCGTTATCAACAAACCAGAATCTGCCCGGTCCTTTATAATTCCCTACGCACTTGATTCGATCATGGACCGACCTACTACAGGTACATGTTTCGATTCAAGCCGTCAAAGGTGGCGTTATCAAGAAACTCATAATTATGCTCACCAGCCCCATCGAAATCTAAGTTCGTTGACCAGCCCAGCCTATTTTTTTCGCCGGGCGTCCTAATTTAATGATCACGCCATCATCGGCTGGTAGCAAGTAAGTAGGGAAGGTAGCGTTGGTGTGTGGAGATCAAAATTAAATAGGCCAGATTCTGGACTACTGTCGGAGATGCATCAGTGTATAAGCAAAACATGCACTAGGCTGCTAACCAGCACTATCTGTTCAAATACGTTGCTTACAAAACTCATGAGTGTCTTGGTTCTATAGTTTCTATAACATATTATGTGTAATCCAACTTTGATCGTTACGACGAAACTATCGTCAATCTTTAGAGTCTAGAGCATTGATCAAGCATTTATATAATCGATAAACCTGATGAAATATTAGCATAAACACTGAAAATGTGGAAAATGTAAACAAGTTTTTCAAACTTTGGAAGAATAAAACATACTTAAAATTGGTCACATGATCAAAGGAAAGAAGGTAACCTTGTTTCACTTAACGAGATTATGTTGCATGAATCTGAGAAGCAATAAATTAACAGTACGTCTTAAAACGAAGAAAATCAATCCAACTTCCATCCTTTTTCGATCTATTGATTAGGCGTATGAAGAGTAGTTCAAGCAGTTGAAAATTAAACAATGTGAAGGTGTCGTTGTATAGTTGTTAATTCACTTGACTTACATTCAAAGGATTGATGGTTCGAACCCCAGCCCAGTACTATCGTCCTTTGGCAAGACATTTATTCCTGTTTGGTACTCCCAACTACTGAATAGGTACCCCAGTGTACATACTGTACACGTATATACAAAACAGGTGACATACCCAAGATGCACCGATATATTGTCCTTCAAATATTTAAAAAAATAATATAAGTAAATCATATGCAAATAATCGCATGCTAATGTCTGACCTCCAAGTGGTGCATAGTCTGTGATGAACTATTTATAAGCAGTTCCTAACGAATTCATCTTAAATGTATTTTCGTGATAGCAAATAAATTGATGATACACAACAGTATGAGCCTATCATATAACTGAAATTATAGAAACAAGTATATCACTGCACAATAACAAATCAGCTCCGTAGTTTTGAATATAATAATATATTCCATTGTTAATCCTGTAACGTACATATTCAATCAGCCTTTAATAACAGGTACAGTTCATGATAATTAATGATAGCCCAGATCACCCTTGATCATACAAATGACCATCACGCAGTTGCAAACTATAGGCCTACCTCAATACTACCAGCCCTAAAACAATTGCCTAAAAATTACTTTTTAGGCAATTGTTTTAGAGCTGATCCTGTACATATATGTACAGAATCAGTTATATTCCTATTTACATATCTATGTTCCGATCACTCAACTGTTCTTTCGTTGATGGATTCGCAGGGTAATGTTGTTTCTTCTTTTAGTTCAAATACATAAATGTAGGAATATTTCAAAACCTGTCCAAGGCTTTCGATATTGTGGATCACAATATACTCTTACATAAACCGAAATATATGGTTTCCGGGGCTTTCCACTAAACATGCGCAAATGGTTTTAAAGTTTACTTGATTATCAAGTATATGGTAATCATTTTATTTGTATGTACAATGTATGCAGAACGATGAGTTCTAACTTACCAACTGGTTTAAAGCCAATTACTGATAATCAATAAGAATAAAACTACATCCTTTATATTCAATAATAAAAATAGAAAATATATATTAGATTTACCTATCAACTTAAATTAAGTAGAATTTACTTTATATAAGGGTATACCTTATATAAAGTAAATTCTACTTAATTTAAGTTGATAATTTCCTTGGAAATGAAGTGGGATGCACGTAAAAATTATGTAATTGGTAAAATATTGAGATGCACTGGTATTCTGAATAAAATAAGGCACCATTTTTCTCCTTCTATGGTTTCATTAAGATAAATACATTGCTTATAGATAGATATATTACTTATAGATAAATACATTACTCAAAGATAGATATATTACTTATAGATATATATATTTATATACATTACTTAAAGATAGTTACATTACTTAAAGATAGATATATACACACCCCAAAATCTGATTCTCTTATGTTCAAAATATCCTCCCAAATACAATATCAAGTTTGACTGAAGTTATTATTGGCTTTCCCAACCATCTGACCATAACAGAAGAAGTAAAAAGTGTTTTTATATTTGGAAATTTAAATATGTATTTGAATTCAAGTGTCTGCACTAATCTCAGTAATAAAGATCACGAATCATAAGTCTATAGTCATATGGAGTTATATTCACCTTTAGATGAAATTAATGAATCTTGTGCAGAATGGGACACGGTGTGCGGAATTGCCCATTTTAGTATCTGCTCCACTTTCCATGTCATATGTTTAGAAAGTTAGATTACTTTGTGTTTGGTCAATTATTGAAAACACGATGTCTTCATGGTCTTAGAAGTTCTCCTTTCTGAATTCCATTTGGTACTGTAAGCATTTGGTTGAGAGGACCTTTCCTAGAGCAGGAGAGCCACAGAAGAACACAGTGATCTTGCCTTTGTGCTGCTGTTTCAGGTTTTGGAAAACCTAATGTGATCACGTAAATGAGAAAGGAGCGAAAGACATTCATTATTTATGTTTCCCGGTTATAATAAAGCTTCCATTTATTAATTTACACAAAATAACAAAAATGATCAGCAAAGCTATGTTCCATTAAGTTCCTGATTAAAGGCCATACAACAGTATTAAAATCATTGCAACCTCTTGCCGGTAAAGAAACAGAAAAGGGGTGCCGAACTAAACCAGTGATATTGAATTCGAGATTACATGCTGATATGGAACCTTAAAAGAAGGATGATTGAATTAAGAGCAAATTGAGAAGGAAAACAAATTCTAAGAGGATGGTGCCCAGATAGGAAAAAAGAGCAGGGACAGGGACGAAAATAGACAGAGAGTATGTGGGTGGGTGGGAGGAGAAAGAGAAATAAACATTGTTTTAATTTATCAGGAAAATGTGAAAGGAGGACGACAGAAAGGGACAGATCTACATGATTGCAAGATCATGTGGACAACATGGCCTACCTCGTCCCAATCCGGCCTTCCAGCCTGGGTCCTCGTCTTCAAGCCCGTGATTGTATCTCGCTTTTTCTTCTTGTGGATGAGATCGAGAGCGACGTGGAGTCCGATGGCCTTCATGTCACTGGGTGAGAGAGCTGATGTCATGTAGAGATGGATGTCGAGAAAGCGATCTGCTGCGGGTATCTCAGCCTGTTCCAACTCGATGGCGCTGATGAGGCTGATAAACCACTCGAAGGAATGTTGATCTCGATTGATCCAAACAAAGTCCACCTTAGAAAAAAAAAGGAATTAAGAAGGGAGTGAAAGATAATCATTCCATCATCTTGATTGTCACTAAGATGAATATATCTTATATATTAATGGGTACATGCATACTTATTACCATAATTTTAGTAATCATCCTCGCCATTAAGCATTGTCATCACAACATCACTGAACTTTTCTCTTTTTGTATCGTTTCTCTACATTATTCCGTATCAGTTTATGTCTAAACTGTTGGTCAGACTTGACGCCGGAGAATGAAGAAAGCGCAATTCATATTGTTGAGATAAGTTTCCAAAGTCTGTTGAAGTATCAATAACTACATTCTAACCAATATCACTCCTTTCTGAATCAGATTAAAGATCACGGGCGGATCTAGCTTTTTGCAAAGGGGAGAGGGTAGACGTGTGACTCAATGACGATGCTGAGCATCGTCCACGAGCCGCGAAGTCCGATGTCCGAGCCGCTTAGCGGCGAGGCGATTTGTTGTTGTTGCTTGGCAGCTCTCCTTAAGCCCCATAACCCCCCCCCGTAGGTCCGCCCCTGATTTACTTGATAGTAGGCCTACGCCGACATGTATATATTTATAATTATCAGTCGTGTTACATCTTCCCCTTCACTTTCAGATTCAGACCCCGTCTGTTGTTTACATGTTTAGTGCTAAATTAAATAATTTCATATAATGATATGAATGTAAATTGTGTTGCTTTTCTACCTTCTTCGTTTTCAGGATAGATGATGAATCAGTCACCCAAGTATGATTGCAGTTTGGACAGTGCTTCCTGGCCGCCTTATATCTCTCGTTTATGCTTTGCAAGATCGAGGCAAACGGTGTGATGCCTATTCCTGCCCCGATGAGTACGGCATGTTCAGCCTCCATGATATGCTGCGCAGGTGCTCCATACGGACCATCTAATATAACCTGGGTGAAACAGGGTGATAATAAAAACAAATCATGATTATGCCATTCTTACGTTCTTGTAAAGCATTGAGTGTTGAGACGAAGCTTCAAGTTACTTTCTAATTGTGTGATAATTATCATAATTAATTTGTATAAGAAATTCATCTGTTGTGATTTGATAACCTGGTATATGACCTTGTCACCCTTAATCTGTTTTTGTTGTTGATGTTTTACGGTAAAAGCGGAAATGGAATGATTGAATTTTGAAATAATCAAGCAAGGATGAATGCCTTTTGCAAATATCAACTGACGTTGATGATGACATCACCCATTGCTGTTAACATGCTCATCGATCTACAGTGAACATCGCATCTTAATTACGCATTTACCATTTACTAGTTGCCATGTGTCAACATTTATCATTAATGGTTCTTCGATTTTAACAGTGAATTTGTTGGTAGGCCTGCACTTACTTCCAATCCAGTGTGAGGTCTACCGCCTAAATCCTTTGACAGATCCAACGAGTGTCGGGCACCGTTCCTTCTTAACGTCACTAAACTCATCTTCCTGTTAACATCGCCGTTCGGCTTTCCACAGACGCTTCTCTTTTCCCGACCAGCTAGGGACTGTCTAACCCTCAGTGATTGTCTTTTGGTGGTACTCCCTCGAGGTGCCTCCTGTACATCAATGCTTTGGCGTGAGTTCAACGATTTCATTTTGAAACTGTCGCCATTGACCGCTAAAGTCATAGATACTTCGCCCAGCTCTTTGTAAGACATCGGTTGGCAATCACCTTGGGAAGCAGATGGGTGATCAGCTTTACGTGGAAGACTTAATTGTGCTGCATTCACTTTCTGTGTAACTGATTCATTATCGTTCTGACCAGTGTTATATGGTTTGCCCTCTGTTACGGTCTTGGTTCCATCTTTGTCACCGTTTGGTAATTCTGGCTCGAAGCCTGAGTTGATTGCACCACTCGCGGTTCTCCTTCTTTTGCTGTATGTTTGTGAAGATCTACGTCCATTCCTATTACTATGTGTATCCGAGATGATGCTCTGCTGGCCGTTAGGCTCCACGGCGGTTGTACTCTTGGTAGAACTTACATCAACGATGACCTCTAAAGGTTCGTCGTGATCTTTGTCGATCTCGCCAAAGCCTGCATTTTCGTGTTCAAGAAGAGTAAGCTCACGTTCTCTGACGACATCGTAGAGTCGCTTTGTCCAATGTCCCACACATCTTATGTGAAGAGTCAAGTATTCTGCGATATAAACAATGCCATATATGGAACTGTTAGTTGTGCCTATACCCCAAGCTTAGTTCATTTGTTTGAAACAATATAAGTACACAAGAAATCCGTATATAATTAGATAATGTCTTCAAGTTTAAATATCAGACAAAAAAAGATATGACAGAAGAATACGAAATAGCTAAAATGGTCCGATTGGTTTAGCACAAAGCCATCAAGACCACTAAATGCAATACACATCATTCAGTGGCTCTTCCATGGCAATGTGCCAACTGTGTACACTCCCCTTGGCATAAAAAGAAACCACGAAAACGAAGAAAAGGAACGAAAAAAGGAAGGAAAAAAAAACACACAAGAACGGAATTGATAACAGATATATATAACCCTACATGGTACATTAAGTGGATATATATATATATATATATTATAGGAGAGGAAGAAATTGAGAGAGAGAGGGAGAGAGAGGGAGAGAGAAGATGAAGAAATGTACCTTGTTGTTCTGGTGCGCTGCTAATAGTGAAAGGGTGCCACTCATGAGATGCTATGGATGGAATATTAACATGGATGTATTCTCCTGCGTGAAACTTGAATTTAGCGGGACGCTGGATAACAAGTTGTACAACCTGTAACAAAATCATCAAGAAACCAGTCAGTTTGGGCAGCGTCATTAAGAAGCTTATTCTTATAGATTTAAGTCGATGAATCTATAAATTCTAAAGTCTACCATTGCTTTCGTTCTCTGCCTGATGGCAGGAATCAAGTATTAATCTCGTATCCGTGTTGAATCCCTGAGGCACGATGAGAAGTTGTACCACATGAATACTAGTGGGGTGCTTGGCTGGCTACTACCTCCCCCCCCCCCCCCCTCAACTCGTTTTTCAACGGCTGGTTAAAATATTGAATATTTGTGGGGCACCACAAATAATAGAAGTCGTTATTTTTATCGATGTCTCAGCCGTCTCTGCACCAATTTTGATCAAACAAAGTTGACTTTGTCGTTTAAATTGTATATCCTTTAAAATTTAACACTCAGTTTTTAATTTTCTCACAAAAAAATATTTTGTGTAGCGCCCTCTGCAACAAAACTCAATCATCCCTTTAAATGGACAGTTTCAAACTACAAGACGTTAACAAATTCTTGCTCGGTTGCTACATGACCTCACAAAATACGAGACTTCGGAAAATCAAATTTTCTGTAATGTTGCCACAATATGGCTGGGTTTTTAGCAATTAATTTTCTTGTGAGATATACTTACATTGGCAGGTAACACGTATCCTTTCTGAATGTAGACTTTACCAAATCGTGCTCGTCTAAAAAACTGAAGACGTACAAGGCGTTCTGCAAGGTAGATTATGCCTGGTGCAATAAACCATATCCAAAAGTACTTAGAATGTATGATAATCAAGCACCAGAAAACAATACACAACTGATGTGTCCAGTAAAACACCTGAGAGACAGAGAGAAAAAACACAAGAGGGTAAATCTCTCACAAAAAAGTCATTATTTCTTCATTGGATATTAAAAGGTTAAAAATGGATGAGTTATTTAATAACTGCCCACGGGGAGGCCATAATTACGAGCAATGGCCTGTCAATAGTAGTAACGACCTTATTGCGAGTGGCCGACTTGATTATTAGTAGGTAACGCTTTTCAGTTGTCAGAACTCTGAATTTAGAATAATGGACAACAAATTATTTGTAGACAGGCGGCGTGTTGTGTTAACTTAAAATGGAACTCGAGCGTTGCTACTTTTATTCTGGCAACTATTTGAAGCCACTGTAAGAACTAAGGAATTCCATGACGGAAATCAGAAACACCATATACAGATGGGTGACAATTGGCAAATACTTAGAACTGACTTTGACTAGAGACAATCAAAATCAATTTTTTGTCTAATGAATAAAAAGTTGAACTAAAAGAAAATTAAAAGCTCACTTTGAAGTATCCATTCCTCCTGATAAAGGGTAATGAGCAGATCGTCATAATAATGAGTACGATGATTATCAAAATACCAGTGATGATACAAGAACCTTCAACAAGGCCAAGACCGGGAAAAGGTCGGACCAAGACATCACGAATCCATGCGGCTGTTGTGCCATTTACATTCTCTACCTGGTAGATCAATCCTATTTGTGAAAAAACACATAATACTTTCAAATTACAAGGAAGGTATTCGCGAGCAACTCTTTGAGCAGGTTATCAGTTCGTGTTGTCCGATCTTATTGTGAACAAGATCGTTTAGTCTATTGGCTCTGATCTACGTCCAATCGGTCCCATCGGTCTCATCGGTTCAGTGGTATTAGAAAACCCTTACCATAACCCTTCGTCAACATTAATTATAATTCTAACACAGGCTGCCCCTACCAAGTTTTCAGACAATGAGAAATAATAACGTACAAAATCATTAGTTGGTTAATGGTGTATCAACATATACTGCCTTAAATTCAGTTTACAAGCTTTTTTTTAAAATCTACTTGCAAATCAATATTGTAACAATTATCATACAATATAATGGTTTATTTATTCAAAAAATCACATTGCAGCCCAAAGGCTGAATTGCACGATTTTTTACAAGTCTTTGACATAAAAACAGATTATAATGAACATTGTAAAAAGCATTACACAAAATAATAACTGCATACAAAATTAGTAACGCAATAATATTCAACTAATATTCTTTTACATTTTAAACCGAAATAGCTAGAGTTATCAGATGGTATAAAGGCAAATAGATTAATAGATGATCAGGTTGAGAGAGGGAGAGAGATAATCAAGAAGGGAGAGAAAAAAGGTGGGAGTCAGAGAGGAAGAACTAGTGTTGGAAGAAAAAATACCATAAGATAAAAACTAAGAATCAGGAGTAACGAAAGCCAGAAATAAGGCTATGTGTTTTTGAATGCTTCATCGTCAGATGAGAGAGCAAACCAGGTACAAGGAATACATGATATATTGATATGTGAATATTGTTAAATTAAAATACAATTCATCATTCAAAAAGGTTGTATGCTTAAAATAATACTTAAAAGTGAAATTAGATAAATTATACTTGTACACTATACAGAGTCCACAAATAAATACAAATAGGCTATTATTTACATTTAAAACATCATATATATATATATGTAGAATGTAGGATGCGAGGAATTAGGCGATACAACAGCAAAGGCAGATGTGTATATCATAATATGTATATGAAGTGGGAGAGCGAGAGAGAGAGGGGAGGAATAAGATAGAAAAGGTAGTATGTGAGTGAAGGAATAACAGAAGGAGAGAAAGAGTAATAT